CGTTGCATTCCTGATTGGGATGGCAACGCCAATTGTTGATACGTGAGTTCGACAATATATTTATTAAACAGTAAGAGGCTTAGAAATTCTCGTTTATTGATAATGTGTTCGGAAATGGGTTACAAGCAGCATACAAATAAGGAGTAATGAATGTAAAGGATGTTGAGCTCGGAAGCTTATAAGCTGACGAACCTTGTGCTTCGCGGATTAACTGAATAACGGGATCGGCGTGATCGGTGTTCTGAGGTCGGAGACTGAGTGATAAGCAAGTGTAATGAGATCGGGAACTGGGTGATAAGTAAGTGTAATGAGATCGGAAACTGGGTGATAAGAGCACTGTGATCGGAATAAGTACGAACTCTGCAAACCGTTTTCTAACGAACTTTGTATGATTCCGGCGGAATGTACGGATAGAATTCTTTTCTTTTTTGGGTGAGTTAGAGTCCTGAAAACCGTTGGTATCCCTTGTACTCTCTCCAAAATGTAATAACTGATGGTTAATAGAATGTGGGGGGACCCCTATTTATACTAGATTGAGGAGGTGCATTTATGTAGGGTTTTTCTTGGAACTTGAGTTGGGCTCGGAATGCTCTCGGGCCGAGCTCGGCGAAATGGACCTTATTATTATTTATAAGGCCCATGCCCAACAAAGAAGATTAAGACAATTAATGTCTAAGACAATAATGATTGATGCTCCAATCAAGAAAATTAAGACAGTTGATGCTGCCGCACTAATGATATTCTTCTTCTTGTTCGTGTTATCGCATGAAGGAGAAAAACATAGTTTTCACTCATAAACACAGTTGTTACCGCAATTAAACCAATCCTCTTAGTGTTTTATCGAGTAGAATTGTAGAGATTGAACCAGTTAGCTGATTCTTTGATAGATCTCTCCGTGAAACAGAGTAAAAAACAGTGGTCGCAACATATTAGTAATAAAAAAGATTTTTAAATCTGATCGACTTGGGGGCGCTTGTGTCCATTTGCATTAAAACCATGCGAAAGGGTGCAAGTATAGAAACCTGGCGGTCTAATGGGTTTTGATATACGCCTTCCATTGTATATGATCTTAATTAATCTCTCTTGTTTCATTGGAATTGAGCTCTTGGATCTCAGAAAAGTGCATGGCAATGTACACTCGTGAAGTTCGGTCCAATCTAGTTAGCGAAATGTTCATGGGATCCGAAATTCAAGCCAAGATCAAAACCAAAGAGAGGCCTCTTGCAAAGGAAGCTGCTTAGAGAATGACCCAAGTCTTCTTCACTTACTCTTTTGTTCAAGAAACTAATGATAAGATGATTTAATTTAAAGAATGTTCTTTGACTTCTTTCCAACTGAATCAATATGGTATTATATTAGTTACTAATTTCAAAAGGGTTGCAATTTAAAAGAATACATATGAATTCAAAACAATATCAAAACTTTAGTTTGAAGTTATATATAAAAAATAATAATACCTAAGAACAAGGTAAGCTATTGGATCCTTACACCAAATAGCATAAACCCTCCTTTCTTCTCCTCTGATTTGGTTTCTTCGTCTTTTAATTTCGAGTTAAATAAGTTTTCTGTTTTCATTTTTTCCTCAAAACTGTTATGAACAGTCTTGTTTACTTCCTCGGGAGCCACAAAACCGAGGTCTGAAAAGCAATGAACATCGATCATCAAGAAGTTCTTGCTTTGACCCTCTAATGTCTTGACATTGCTCGGGACATCGCAAGTGTAAAAGACGATAACATCTTTCTCCTTGAGATTCTTCTCCTTGACGAAACCATTCCATCCTCTGGTAAAGACAAAACTCTGACTACTTCTCCAGTAACAATACCTAAACTTCCATTGTCTCATTGCTCTATCATAAAACACAACCTCAACATCATCCACATCTCCTCCTTTTTGGCCATCTTCTCTCTTGTTTTGATAATCGCTTATGAAAGGTAAATACTTCACTGCATACTTCTTAGGTATCACAAGCCTGTTGAGTTTCCCTACATCGCTCGGAGTCAATTCCTTCTGAAAAAGCTCCTTGCAAGAGAAACACTTGTCCGATTCTTCATCTCCTTGGCTCTGTTTTGATCCCACGGTATTGATACTCACGACCTTCTGAGTTTGATCTCTGAGAAACTCTTTGAACTTATGTGGATAAGAACCGTCTCTGATCATGTTCAACACATCTTCTGTTGACTTAGTTTGTTGAAAGTCCGGTTCATGGACGGTGAAATCATTGCAAGGGAAGTTCCGGTGCGAGTTAGCATCAGAATTCCGTAGCTTGATGGATGCGCTATCGTAAGCCGTAGCGGCTTCAGCAGCTGATTTGAAAGTACCGAGCCAAATCCTTCGATGGTCTGTGTATATCTGAGCCCCACAGTGACCATTCTGCTGCTGAACAACTCCTTTGTACTTTACAATGGTCTTTTTTGCAACCACTAGGGCATTGTCAGATGCGTCGTTAAGAGGTCTCAAACGTTTCTTGAGAGGCAAGAAAGAGTCGTCGCTTGAGTTTGAAGTTCCCGTGGATGCATCATTCATATCCATATCAGAATAAGAGAGTTTGGATTGAGAAGGAAGAAGACAAAACAATTGAGAGATGAGAGGAAAGCAA